GAGCCACAGAAAGAAAACTTCTAAAAAAAAAAAAAAGAAAGAAAGAAAACTTCTTAGAGAGCCTTTGAGGAACGGGAGACAGGGAGGGGAGAGAAGGGGGGACGGAGTGAGGGGATGGGGCGGATGCTGGAGCTCAGGCTGTCATTCTGCTCGGAAGTGTGGGCGCTGGTCAGCGGCGCTAGTGCCCCCCCCCCCCAGCAGAGCTGGAAGGCAAAACTGGAGAGCTGTGGACTCAAGCTGTCAGTTGCTTGGGCTAAAACGCCACCAGGCTGGGGTGAGAGGACATGATAAGGGGCTTTGCGAAGGAGGAGGCCCACCCGGGCGCTCCTGCCCAGGACGCTGCTGCCGGAGGGGGCTTGTGGGCAGGTCGGTGGCGGGACCCCCAGCTGCCTGGGCGCCCCTGCTGCGGCAGGTGAGGAGCAGACACGCAGGCCAGGGAAGGCCTCTCCAGCTCGGTCACCGTGGCTGCAGACACCCCTGCCCACGGCGGGGCATACGGGCACCTGGTGGCGGGCGGCGGCGCAACACAGTCCCAGGGGCAGGACGGCCTTCTGGAGCCGTCGAGGCGACACGGTGGGTGAGCCGAGGCTCTTCCCCTGCTCCGTCCTGCCGGGGAGGTGCTGCCCTCGAGCAGATGGGGCCCTCCACGGAGGCCTGCGCTGGAGGCTACAGGACTGACTTCAGCTCTGGGAATCTTCCTTGGTTTGTTTTTTTAAGGATTTTATTTATTTGAGAGAGAGGAGAGCGGGGGTGCAGGGGGTGCAGAGGGAGAGGGAGAAGCAGACTCCCGGCTGAGCCTGCCCCCGCCCCCACCAGGCTCCATCCCAGCCCGGGACCCCGAGACCAGGACCCGAGTGAACAGCAGGCGTCTGGTCCCTAGCCCCCCGAGCCGGCAGGCGCCCTCTCCGGGGCTGCTTCAGCTGTCTGGGGACGGAAGCAGCGCACGGGCACTCCTGCGGGACAGGCCACCAAACTCCAGACGGGGCTGGAACGGGACCAAAGGCCCGAGGCCCGGTTCCGCAGACACGCGGCCCATGGGGTCTCTGCTGGCCACGGCCCACTCCGCCCGTTGGCAACGCCCGGTGTGAGTTCACGGGGGTTTCTAATCCAGGTCCTGCCTCCGTGGTTCTTGCGGTCCACACCCAGGAGGATACGGGGTCTGGGGCCACATCTGGGATCCAGTTCTTGTTCCGTGCTGTCCGGGGACTTGAAAGGCAACTGTTCTGAGACTCACCGCCAAAAAGAAAAGCTCCGAACAGATGTGCAAAGTGGGGACAGCCGCCCCCGTGTGCGTGCACCCCCGTGTGCGTGCAAGACATGCTGGCGCCTTTGGACAGATGACATTTGCACAACTGCTTTGTGGGGACAGGTCCCTTAGCAGGCGCATCTGCGGGGCCTGGTTTGGGGGCCACGGGGCCTTGTGTCTGAGGCGAGGGGGAAGGCGTTTTCCTCCACGGGACCCACAGGCTGCAGCAGGTGCATTCCTGGTGGCTGGTGCCAGAGGTCAGACAGGTGGAAGGAATTTGGGCTAGCAGGTTGGGGTGGGGACCGCGGGGTGAGACACTCAGGTGTGAGCAAGGGTGCAGGAGCGGGGCGTCCTACTACCTAAATCTTCATTTTAAAGGTGAGGAAACTGAGGCCCAGACACCCGGGAGGGTGCTCAGTGCCCCGGAAGGGAAGGAGGGAGGATCCTGAGGAGTGGCCCGTGCCTCCGTCCCCGGGGTTTGGTCAGCTGCGCTCGAGCGAGGCGCGAAGCCCTGGGAGAGGGTGGAGCGGCTGGGGGACGTCCTCCCCGCGTCCCCGGGGCCACTTTGCTGTCGGCTGGCCCGCCTCCAGCCCACGAACCACCTGACTCTCAGTCTCCCAGTCTACAAAGCCTGGGGCCCACCCACACCCGCGGTTTCCTGCCACACAAGACCTCACTTGGGGCGGCCCCAGAGCCTCCCAGCCCCGCAACCCCCCTATGTCCCCACACTCGGTGCCTGGAGGGGGCGCAAGGCCCGGGTTCGAGTCCTCCCTCTGCTGTTAGCCGTCCTGTGGGTCTGGCTGAGGTATTTATGCGCAGAAGGAAGATAATGATTTTTCCTTCCCCACAGTTTGGGGAGAGAGCGGGTGGGGCGAAGTTAAAAGTGAGAGCTTTCGGGTTTTGCTGCTCTTCCCCTCCGGGCTCTCACCCGATATCCCTTCCGTGTGGTTTGTCTCTTTCCCACGCGCCCTACCTCCTGGCACTAGTTCGGGTAACTCGGGGCAGCACATGCAGGTGCCACGGCCGCCAGGCCGCCCGGAAAGTCGGTGAGGTAGGCTGAGGCAGGGCGACAGGGAGCGGTGCGGCCTGCGGGGACCTGGGGGCAAGCGCCCGTCCAGGGGGCCGCCGCGGGAGCTCGCTGCTGCTGCTGCTCGGGGGAGTGTGGCTTCGTTTGCTTGTGCTCTTAACAGAAGATACAAATCTGAATGTTATGTGACGCATCCGGAGTTTTGAATGGCAAGAAGGAAAAAAAATTTTTTTTTTCAAATGCCACGAACACCAGAATGATTTCCATCTTTCCTTTCCTTCTCAGCTTCCTCCAGGAAGCCTTCCGGCCCCTCGAGAGCAGCTCCGTGCCCCCGCCACGTGCTCCCTCAGCACCCTGTACTTAGTGGCATGTCACAACACAGTGGTAATTACACAATTAATTATAAAACTGGGTTTCTTGTCATGCTCTGCTTCTAGAACGTCAGGTCATGCGATCCAGGACTGTGTTTGCCTGGCTCTTCCCCTGTTCCCAGGGCAATGCCTGCACACGGTAAGTGGCTTTAACTAAATGTCTGTTGCGTCAGGGGCGCCCTGGGTGGCTCAGTGGGTGACGTGTCTGTCCTCCGGCTCAGGTCATGATCTCAGGGCCCTGGGTTCGAGCCCCCGCGTCGGGCTCCCTGCTGAGCCCGGGGAGTTGGCTTCTCCCTCCGCCCCACCCCCACTTGTGCTCTCTCTCTGTCTCTCTCTAACAAATAAATAAAATCTTTAAAAACAAACAAATAAATATTTGTTGAGTCAGTGAGGGCACAGCCTCAACCCATCCTGATTTCTAAACCTGGGTTCTCATCCGGCTGATGCAGGGGACCCACGTGGCCTTGTCATGAGACATCAGTCCGTGTTCACAGAAAGAAGATCTCTGTAGGATAAAAGGGGGCAACTCTTTTTTTTTTCCTGATAGGGACAAAAACTGCTAAAAGAGAATGTCAAGCCTTGGTCTCTTGCTGTGACCCTGCTGTCATTCACTGGGGTGTGTGAGCCTTGGCTTCCCCGTGTTGTGAGGGGATGAGCCCTCCGGGGTCCCCCGGAGGGGGTGAAGTGATCCCTTGAGAAGGCTCGGGGTGCATCCCAGTGCAGCACCTGCTGGCAGCAGCACTCAGCCCCCCGAGGGCGGCCAGGGGGGCTTCTCCTGGGGCGGCTGAGCGGGTCCTGCGTGCTCTCCGCCTCCCGTCCGCTCGCTGCCGTTCCTGGACAGAATGCCTAGGACGTTTGGCTGCCCCTGAGTAGCCTTGGCAACCCTTTCACGTTCTCTGCGTCCAGGGAGATGCTTATCGTCCGAGGAGGCAGGCTGCAAGGAACCCTTCAAGCTACAAGGGGGGCCCCGGCTTTTCCGAGCGTGAGCTGACCCTCGGTCAGAAGTGGGGCCGGGCCGCTCCGGACTAACGCACACGTGCCCACGCGCAGCTGAAACCAGCATGTACGCTCCCTATGCGGCAGGCGCCCGTATTTTCCATTGTCTTGGAAAAAAAAAAAAGTGGTGGCGACTCGCTACACCCATTTCTCCACCCCTCGAGTGGGGCCAGGCTGCAGACGTGCAAACGCTGCGTTGCAACACTTTCGTGCCCACTTTCCAGGAGGGGGGACTGAGTCACGCTCGGAGCAGCTGTGGCACGTCTGCGGGATCCAGCGCGGGCGGCAGAGAAGCACAGTGGCATCTTTCGGAGGATTTTGGAGCTTTCGTGCTCTACGTGTCCCCCCCACCCCCACCCCCACCCAGCGTGACCCGCTCATTTTGCAGATTGAGAAAGAGCTCAGGCGCCAGATGCGTGATTTGCTCGAGGCCACGACGAAACATGTCGCCTAGTTGGTTCAACGTGCAGCGTCCCGCATCCTCCTCCACCAGGCACGCTGCTTTTCTGACCCAGGGGAGTGGGAGTTTCTGGCCTCACAGGAAGCTCCCTCCTGGGCACGGGGGAGGTTTCCCACTCTGCAGAGGCCGGGAGGGCCTCCCAAGGAAGGCTGAAGACCACCTGTGCACCCTGACTGCCTGAGCGTGAGGTGAGTCAAAGGTGCAGGGTGAGCTGGCTTCGTGGGAGGGGCAGGTGGCACCTGCTTGCAGCAGGCCACCTGGGAGGCCCCACCCGGCGAGGTGACCGGGGTGAGCCGGAGCCGACAGCCTACACGTCTCTCAACCGGATGGATGGGAGGCTGGCCTCTGGACGCGAGGAGCCGTGTTGTGGATGGAGTAACTGGTCCCCTTCCACAGAGGATACTTCCTAGATGTCCCAGACACAGACGGAGGGGACAGGAGATGCCCAGGCTACCCGACACTGGCCGTGCATCCTGGCCAAGCCCTGAGGGCAAGGGGCCCCAAACACAGTCAGGGATGGAGCCCTGAGTCTGTCCCCCGGCCGCTGGGCTGCCCGGTGGGCCCGGGAGCGTCATCCAGGAGTGCTCCCTGCAGGACTGGGATGTCAACCCCAGATGCTCCCTGCAGGCCCGGGAGCCTACGCCTGGGATGCTCCCTGCAGGACTGGGAGCATCAACCCCGGGTGCTCCCTGCAGGCTGGGCCCTTGGGCTCTGGGGGGTCATTCTTCAGGTCCCAGGCTCAGCAGCTTGCCCACTGCCGGCTACCTAACCGGCCGCTCAACCTCGGGGATGCTTTCCTGCCACCTCCCCACCCTGGAACAGCAGAGGTGGCTGTCCTCGGAGCTCAGACCCTGGACCCCCGGCGCAGGGGGAAGGCCCCCCGTGGGCCTCAAAGCTCACCTGGGGGCAGGTAGGAGAAGAGAAGGCACAGAAGCAGCAGCAGCAAGTAGAGAGGCCTCATGACGGCCGCAGGCTGGGCCGGGATGCCCAGGGAAGGGAGAGAGGCTCCTCGCAGGCCGGGCTTCCTGAGGCTTCTGGAGGCTTCCAGAGGCTGCCAGAGGCGGGAGTGCCTCGGTATTTATAGGGCAGGGATTGCACAACCGCAGAGGTGATCTGAAGGGCGGTGTCGCAATGCAGAGTGAAATTCTAATAAATAACCTCTCGTGCCACTTGCCCCGAGTCGTCGGCGAGTCACGTGGACACGTTTCTCTGTCTGGCTGCGACTGGATTCGGCTCTCAGCCCACTGATCGCTTTCCTGCCTCCATCGCTTTGCCTCTTCCAGGACGTCATGTAGGTGGAACCAGACGGCATGTGGCCTTTTCAGATTGGATTCTTCCGCCTGGGGATTTGCTCTCAAGGTTGCTCCCCGTCTCCTCATGGCTTGATGGCTCATCCCTTCTGAGTGCCGGGTAGTGTTCCACTGTCTGGATGAACCAGGGGTCACTGGCTGAAGGACGTCCTGGTTGCCTCCAAGCTGTGGCGAATCTGAACACAGCTGCCGTGCACGTCTGGGTCAGGCTTCGTGCGGATGCGAAACTCCTTTGTGTGGGTATCAAGGAGGGCAATTGCTGGGTCATATGGTAAGAGGTTCAGTTTGATTAAAAACTGCCCACCGCTCCTCCGGGGTGGCTGCCCTTTCCGCAGCCCACCCCCCCCCCAAGGGCTGAGCGCTCCTGTGGCTCTGACGGCCTCCCCAGCACCGGGTGTGGCCACGGCTTCCAGATTTCGGCCACACTCGCGGGTGGGGAGGGCTGTCTCCTGGATTTCAGTTGCATTTCCCTGACGACATGCGATGTGGAGCCCCTTTTCTTGTCCAGCCTTCCTTTTTTTCCACCTCGATGCATGTTCCTAGGAAGCTCTCAGCTACGGCTTCTCAGCTACGGGGTCTCTGGGAGTCCGAAGGCCTGGTTTCCAGATGGGGCTGAGTCTTCCCAACCTACAAGGAGGGGAGTCTCAGTCCTTCAGTTGTCAGGCTGAGGCGTGGTGTTAGCTAATATCTGAGGATCGCTCGAGTTCCCATCAATCCTAAAGATTTAAACTTGTTTTGTCTGTCGTTAATTTTCACAATTCTGCAAGTGGCTTTCGTAGTGACTCGGTTTTCGTGAGCAACAGCAGCAGCTCTGGCTGGTTAGGCAAGGGAGGAGTTTCCCAGGGGGACGATGGGTAGCTCACAGGATCGATGAGGGGCCCGGAGAGCCCGCTGGGAGCTCAGCTTCCAGGGACACTGTGCAAACTGTGCCTGAGGTCTGGTGTGATGTGGACCCCTGTGCCATGGCCACGTGCATGAGACACCAGGCTCGCTGGCCTTCACCACCACCGGCAGAGCGCCATCTGTGCCAATGCAGCATCTTCCAGATGATTCCGTGGCAGCCCTGCCAGAGAGAGGGACAGAGAGATGCACAGAGACAGACAGGCAGGCTAGGGTTGGGTAGCAGGTGCCTCCCTCCCCTGCCCTTCTCACCCTGGGCCCCACCATCGGTCCCCTGTCCCACCAGCCCTGGGTCAGGTTGGCAGAGCTTCAGTCGCAGACCTAACTGCAAGGGAGTCTGGGCAAGCAAGGCCGCCACATATTCAGCACCTGCCACAGGGTATCCTTGCCTCTCACGGAGCTCTGGAGTTAGCGCAGTCCCCAGACACCCAGGAGGGTTGATGCTGGGTGAATAGAAACATATGCGAGGGCTTATTACATTCAAATGCATTGATTCTTTCACGGGCCAGGTCAAGTGCATCATTCAATTCCCGTTATGTGCCCGGAGGTCTCTGGTGGCTTGGGGTGCAGCGGGGAATGGGCTCTCTGGAGGCCGCCTGCACAGATCTGGCTGGGGAGGCAGATGGGCACACAGGTAGTTACCATGACACTCGGCAGGTGCTCTGATGGGGACGTGGTTGGGGCGGGGGCTGGGCCAGGCCGGTGCCGGTGCTGGGGCTGGAAGGGTATGTACGCGTACGTAGGCCTTTAAACATCACGCCGGTCGGTGTTGGGGCATGTCCTTAGCAGTAGGGAGGCTTTGGAGGACTGGAATTGGGGGAAGTAAGTGGAACAGCCGGAGGGAAGTGTGGAAGGTGGATGGAGAAGGGACTGGCCGCGGGAAGACCAGGTGAGGCAGGTGGAGCTATTGGGATCCCAGCTGAGGTCCTGAGAAGGAGGGAAGGAACACGGACTAAGGGATAATTAGAAGCCAAAGCCATCCCGGCCTGGTAGTAGACCGAAGGCGCTAGATTTCCGGCTCAGACTAGGTCCAAGTTGCATCATATGTGGAGATGGGCTAAAGGGGAGGTGCATCTGATTCGGGAAACGGCGGTTGCAGGAATGTTTGAGCGTAAGGAGCGGCTGGCTTTGGGTTTCCTGGAGGCGCGAGGCCACAGGGGACGCCCCGCGCTGAACTGCGTGGGGATCCCCGGGGAGACAAGCCCCAGGACTCCCCAGAAGGGGGGATGTGGGAGCTGGGGTTATTCCTCCCCACACCCTCACTCACTGGCTAAAGCTGCTCGGAGCAGGAAGGTAATCCCTAGGCATTCACGGGTGGCAGAGGCAGGTGTCGGCTCTCGGGGGGCAGGTGATTGCACAGAAATGGTTGTGGGGGCCCTGGCAGGGAATGGGATCTGGAGGGAAAGAAGGCTTCTAACAAATCCCAGAGAAGATGGGCGGTGAAGGGAGCATGAAAGAAAACCATGGCGGGGGGGGGGGGGGGGGGGGGGGGCGGGGAGTGCATGGAAGTCTAGGGAGGGGGCATTTTCAGAGGGAGAAATGCAGAAAATGCAGAAAACGTTGCGTGAGAACAAGCATTCCAGAGTGTTTGCCTGTCTGGTGAGGTTGTGAGAGCAAGCCCCAGACTCCTAGGTGTGCTGGCTTCCAGGTGGCTGTAGCAGGTATGAGGGGCCCCGGCCCTGCCCAAGTGGGCGCCGACACTCCAGCCTCTGGCCCCTGGGGTCCAGTCTGCCCCTGTTAACTGGCTGCCTCCCGCTGACTCGATTTCCCTTCACCACTAGCAGAGTTTTCTCCTTAATCTCCGGCACCTGACGGTGCCAGCTCCGTTCTTTCGCCCTCGGTTCTGTATCAACACCGGCTTCCAATGCTTCCAGGCCTCCCGCATGGTTCTGGTGGTGTCGGGGTGCAGGCTGCCTCGCTGTGTGGCCCAAGGCCCCCGGCGGTGGCAGGGTCCCAAGTAGCCAGGGCGAGAAGGCACCGCCACCAGAGAGCCTCCGGGCGGGCGGGCGGCGTTGGAAACGGGACAGCGGCCGCACGGCTCCCAGCCCCCGGCTCGTGCTGCTAAGAAGCATCAAGAAAATCGAGCTGTCCATCTCGTTGACGGGGAGGCGAGGTCACAGATGGCCAAGTGAGGAGAGACCCCGGCTCCTTGGCTCTGTTTTGGGGGGAATATGCTGCAGTGAGTGCAGGTTAAGGGAGGGTGGCGGCAGGCTGGGATGCACCCATCGTGTCTAGGCTTGTGCTGAGCCTCCAGCTTCTGTTTCACGTAGCCATCCGCCCTCCCGAAGCTGCTGGCCAAGTTCAGGGCCACCTCTCCCGGTGAGGCCCAGCCCTTCCGATCTCTCCCACCCTTTCTCTCTGTTCACAGCCGGTTGGATTTGGCACCTGCTGCCTGGGACACTCTTGGCTTCTGTTCCCCCATGTGTGAAATGGGGGGACAGCATTCCCAGGGGTCAACGGTGCTGGTGTTTGTGGTGTTCACACAGACTGGCAGAGGGACTGGGGCTGGACTCATGTTGCCCCCCATACGGGGTGCACGGAGGGGAATGCGAACAGCCACATCTATTGACCACTCACAGGCACTGGGCTGGATGTTTAACTTGGCTGGTTCCTCAGTACAGATCCACTTGATGGCATTTCAATACTTAACGACATAACAACGGTGTGCTGAGCACCGCAGGGGTGAAGAACATTCCCTGCCTCTGGGGGCTCGAAGTTCCTGGCGGTGAGCTGTGCTTATGTCCCCTGTCACCTCCTCTGAGAAGCCCTCCCTGACTTCCATGCATCACCCTAAAGGTGGCTGGGGACCTCTGAGCTGCTCTGTCACACCCTCCTTCCCCATCACGGTGACCGTCACATGCTCTCCCTGCTTGTCCCTACCCCCCACCCCCCGGCCGAGTCAGTGAGGTCCGAGCGAGGGGCTGTGTGGGAGCCCCCTTCCTTTCCCACCAGGAGGGTCCAGTGTGCGGCGGAGAGAACCAGCCACCGTCCGGAAGAAATGCACGAACAGAAGTGATTGACCCGAAAGGCCTCGGGTTTACAGTCTCCAGCCACGTCGGGAGGGCAGCCCCTACTCCCTTACCGCCTTCTGGGGAATGGTAGTCATGGCATACTTTGTGATAGAAAAGCATGAGTCAGGGTCTCTTCAAGGAGGAACCTAAGATTTAAGGACATTCGTGTGGGGAGAAAGGAAGAGAAAATCTCTGTGCGTGCGTGTGTGCGTGTGTGCGTGTGTGCTCACAGTCATAGAGGCAGAGAGCCCAGAGCCTAAACGGAAAAGCCCAGTCTTTAGGTCTGGGAAGGGGAAGGGGGCTCAAAGGGGTGGGCCGTGAGCCAACCCTGCCTGTATTCATTCTGCACATTTTTATTCGGGGTGATCATTCGGTTAATGGGCGCCGCGTGCTGTTCTGTGGCTGTGCGTGTCCCGGGAGCAGTGGGCACAGTCCCCAACCCTTCCCCTGGCTGCACTCATGTGCACCAGACCTTGACTGTGGTCTGCTCAGGTCACCTCCTTGGCCGGCTGGTCTCCAGGACACCGTCTCCCAGGCCTCGGTGCTGGCTGCTGCCCGGAGACAGGAGCCATTTGGGTCAGGTGCTTGTCACACCCTGGGAGCATGAGACCTGTGCGCAGAGGCGAGGGTGGGCAGGTGGGGACGGGCAGGCAGGTGGGTCGCAGCTGCCTTGCGGCCCCACAGCCAGCATCAGGTGAGATGCAGCCTTCCACTGTGGGGTTGAATGGTTCAGGCCCAACCCGGGCTCCTCCGAGGCCTGGTCTCCACGGGTCTGTGGGAGCCGCTCCTCGGGACGGGGCTGCAGGGGAAGGAAAGGCAGAGGCTG